ACGTATCCGTTGCAGGAGGAGGAGGAGGATGCAATAATGAGAGGGAACACCAAGAAAAGATGGTGGCGATGTGGATGAAATACTAGTACTAGTACACCACAACAGCATGAGGATGCTGCCTCCTGCTGTGCATGCTGGTAGTCCAAAATTATTTTCATATTCAAAACATCATTGTGTTCCTGTGACCACCTTCTTCTTCTTACTAGTAGTACTTCTATAGTACTAGCAATATCCTCTCATTTTACTAGTAGAAGTAGTTGTAGTAGCAGCAGCGCAACAACAGGGTATCAGAAGACTACTAGACATGAAGGTGCAAATACTGACTTTTATTTTGGGACGAAGGAAGTATTTTCATTTTTGTGATGAGAATCATACGGACAGAAGATTCGTTCGTTCATTCGTTCATTGTTTGAAATTCGATTTTTTGATTGGCTCATTCCTTTGTTGTTTCTTACGCTAGTTCAGCATTAACCACCGCACGCAGCAAACGCACGAAAAAACGCTTGATTTGCGGACGGCATAAAAAGCTTCCGGAGAGCCAGCGCGCACGGTCATTACGATCATTCCAGAAATTAAATTAAATTGAATCTCGAAAACTTCACGTATCGAATCGCATGGTCTTCGTAACGGCACATCATTTCTGTCATTTGAATACATCGACGACCATCCTTGGATAACTTTATTGTCTACGTTAGGCAAGATAGGAGTGACTTCGACCTATTATTAGTTCAAAAGAGTGATCTAAGAATACAGTTCCAAAGCTAATAAAGCTAATCGACACGTGAAAATTATTCTCATCCAATAATTACAACTTTATTCAATTACGTCACAAGATGAGCGACAAAACAGAGGATCAAAACGGCAGCGCCAGTTCTCCGAATTCGAATTGGACCAAGGAACAACTCACTGGGAAATCCGTCGTTTCTACAGCGGGACTCGCGGAAGCAACTGCGTCTAAGTTGACAGTTTCCCCGCCGAAACGCAAGTCGATCGGAAAAGCTCCCAAGGACGAGGGCGTCGACCCCTCACTGTGGGGACGACCGGGCCATTTGACGGACGCCCAAGCCGATACGTATGTAAGTAAAGAATTGAGACGACCAAAGCATTGAACAAACAAAGCGTTAATCGATGAAGGAATTAGGACCTCCTGGAACCACGTGTGTGTGGTGACGGCTTCTGCGTTAAATGGATGTTGCAGTGAGCAAATGCTCACGGCACCGATTATCTTCGAGAAGGAAGCTAAGAGAGAGAAGTAGAACGCAAAAGATGGCAAAACCAGAAATCTTGGATCTTATATCCGAATGGAATTCATTTGGAAACTKYAAAGTCTGGAAGAAAAGTTTCCTTTTTGGTATGTGGACTAAAAGCAACAAATTTGCGGGCAGGACGAATTTCCATGATGCATCGCATCGATATGACTACTCGTTTGTTAGCGAGGTCATTTGATCGGTAAACTCGACCCAAACGCAATCGTACGTTGTTGGCAACATAGAGTAATGGTACACCATCCATTTTGACGATAGGCCTAGAAAACATCGTCAGAGACGTTTTCATGTCACTGAAAATAGGTTGTATGTGTCACGCATTTTTGCTGGCATTACTGATGAAAAATGAGAACGCGACAATTATCTCTTCCGCATCGTGAAAAATTTTCCTCCGTTCTGGTTGTCAGGATCTTCGATGACGACAAAATCGAGTTTTTCATCCTCCATTCTTCCATAGCGATCCATCCTCTCCCTATCTCTTGCAATTGTGAAAATCTCGAATTCATACTCACTTCAATCTTTCTACTTCTTGTTCTATCGCGGCACCATGGCATCATTGAATCTCGCAACATTCATGGAACACCTGACACCCTGATTTGGAAAACGACTGATAGCTTCGATTCAAAGAAATTGTTGATCTACGAGGTGGTGACTTTCGTGATACCATCTTCTGCTTTGGCGAGGAGGAGGGCGAAGTGTTTGCCCTTTGCCGATGGCTCCGGGCACGAAAATTTGTGTTCAACGACGTCATGGTCATGGTCGAGGGAGCGACTAAGTGCGAGGCCTCGGCGAAGAAGGCGGGTTTCTATGCCGACCCCGCAGTTGCCTTGGGTTGTGCAGAGGCCGTTTACAACCGACAATATCCTCAGTGTTACAGCGGATTCGCCAAGAATGGGTCACCAGTCTTCTATTCTAAGGTCGGAGAACTTGACATTGATGCCGTCGAATGTGTCACTACCATTAGTAACATTGTCAAGTACCACTGGTATGTGATGATGCACGACTTTGCAAATCGGTTGCGTGCTCACAAAAAGAAGAATCCCCAGTTCAACGAATTTGAGTGCGTCTGTATTTTGGATCTGGCCAACTTGACGATKGGAAAACTTAATTCCAAAACCTTGGCCATTATCAAGGAACAATCAGCGATTGATTCCCTCTGCTTTCCCGAAACTCTAAACAAGATGTACCTTGTCAACAGTCCGAGATTCTTTTCAGCCACCTGGACCGTTATCAAGGGATGGCTCGATGCAAGAACTGCCAACAAGGTCGAGGTTATCAGCAGCCGCAAGGCCATGGAAAAGGCCTTGCTGGAGTACATCGACGTGGACCAACTGGCGTCAGACTATGGAGGAAAAGGGCCCGCCACCCAATTCTCAATGGAAAAAGATTGCTTCACTGGCAACCTCAAGCGCCTGCATACTGAGACTGTGTATTTGCGGTAAGTAAAACCTTCAATGAAACCGAAAACGACGTTTTCTTTTTACAAATATTAATTTGCGATATACTTCGATTCTCAAAAAGGTTTTCCAACTAATCACTTTCCCAACCTCCTTTTCTACTCTCGGATTACCACAGCACGACCGCTTCGGTGACCTGTGATATTCAAGCTGGCGAAGAATTGGAAATCGCAGTGTACACACGATCCACCATCGGAGCCAAATTTACTGTTTCTGATGCCAAGGGCGGGCCTACTTGGGCGACCGACGTACCAATCAAACACGATAGTGAGGATCTTGAGAAAATGCCTAGTAACGTCACCATTACCAAAGAGAACATTAAGGGTCCTGCCACTGTCGAAGTCAAGGCGAAATCAATGGGAGGCCGATTTGCTGGTTCTACCAACTATTTGGTCGTCTTTTCGGTTAGGAGCCCTTAAAAGAGTGTGTTGTTGATTATTGGAACACACGARCGGGAAGAATCAATGCCGTAGCCATTTCTTGAGCCAGGAGGGAGTCATGAACGAATCGCTTTCGAATACCGACCACGTCTTCCTTTTTACGACCGATAGTCAACAAAAATAAGGAAAACATCAATGAAAAGTATRTTTTATACACAAGCAAGCTTAATTTTGTAGTTATGGTTGTTGTTCAAACTATACCACTATCATCTAAAGAATTATTTGCGATCATTATCAAATTATTTGCGATTATTATCAAAGTATGACGTGCTTGTCAACAAGTTGGTGTACCTTGGACGTCATAGAATATGATGAATCTACCTTGGTCTATCAACCCTGGTCACGCACGTTCTTGGCGTTGATAATGGAACTGTTGTAGTCCAGTACTAGTAGGTGTCAAACAAAGTCAAGATCACTGAACAAGATTTACTAGCATTCAAGAACCATGCAAACAGATTGGTTTTGGCCRGATCCCCTGTCTTCCACTTTCTCAATCCATGCCCTGGTAAACTGACTAAATATGATAACTGGGAAGGAGGAGTGAAATATTACTTCCTCTGTTGCCATTGTGGTGAACTGATATCAAGTTTCACAACTATCCAAAAGCATGTTGGCCTGGTAAAATGTGACAGCCCATTCTGGAGAAAGAAGAGATGAGAGAAGCAAATCTTCTGGGGACAAGGCTCTGTGGGTTGATGCCTTTGACAATGAACCAAATGTCATGAAAGGAAAACTCAAAGTACCTCATCTGCCACTAGTAAAAGGAAGTAACTCAGGCAATTCAGAGGACAATGACACCAAGGATGAATTGGACAAAAATGACAATGAGCAGACAACTCCTCAATCTACCAGGAAGAAAGAAGTCCAAAGAAGGATGGCTTCCACAAAGAAAGTACCCCTGTCACCAAAGGAAAAAACTCAGATAATTCAGAGGACAATGACRGCATCAAAGTTARTGACAACAACAGCAAAGAATCAGACAGTGAAAATGAGCAGGAAACTCATTGACCTGCCAGGAAGAGAAAAGCCTCAAGAAATAAGACCACAAGAAACAAACCACCAGCTAAAAGATAGAAGGACCACGGATCAGACACTGAGGATGAACAGGTTGCTACTCCTGTCTCAAAGAAACAAGAAAGCAAGAAAAAGGGTTCATTACAGATGAGTCATGATCAGTGTGAATCAATATATTATTTTTATAGTTACTATCTCCATAAAATTATTTTTGTATCCAATGAATATAAACATTTCTGCCCCTTGTTTTCTGCCAAATCTGTATTCTGAACCCATTATGATAAGATCTGCCAAATCTATAGTATTCTGAACATCCAATTGACAGATGCCGCCAAATGCATATTCTGAAACTCATATTGTCTGCCAAATGCAAATTCTGAACCTCATATTGTCTACCAAATTTGTATTCTTCATCACTCAACAAATGACTTTTTTTTCTCTTCTCTGTTTTTTTGTTTTGAACTACCTCCTGTTTCAACCATAATAGCACTAGTAGTATGTATGGAATATTCTTGTGTAGGTGGCTTCTTTGCCACAATCTTTTCTCATACATAATTCTGAAACTCATTGAGTTTTTCTATATACCACTGATACATACTGTGTTGCCAGACAATCATCTCTTTAAGGCAGTGAATTTCCATCTTAGGTTTCCACTTCTTGTTTGTCACTGATGTCCTTGCAAGCTGCCTTACCAAATGACAGGATACTGCTGGAATTGTTACACCAGAGAAATATCCTACATTCATCCACCAAGCTATTCATTTCCAGAATGAGATTGGATGGTGCCACTTGTATGCATGCCAGCCACCTGCCTTTCACTTCAGTGGATCATTGACCCCCTGATCTTCATACCAGCTCTCACTCCCCAATTGTGCTTGGGAGTTATCTAGTGGAATTCTTTTCTCACCTCTTAAATCTTGTTGTGGGAGCAGAGAAACAAAAAAGCCACACTCATTCTCAGAAACAAGCACTTAATTGACATTGGATTATAACAGAAGTCCATAGTACTCTCTTTCCCACAAAACCACAGGGGTGTCCCTCTCATGCTCATTTATTCCCAAAGGACTCCAACAAAACATTCCTATGRTTGTTGGAAAAATAATGAAATGACAAAGAGTAATGGGCTTCTTGGTGGCCAAACAATGAAATGGTGGAGAGCAGTTCCAAATTTCAAAAAATGTCTCTGAGACACTCAGTCTCAGACTTGCAGGATATATGGGGGATAAGGTGGTGAAGCATTATGCAAAGAAGAAGGAGAAGTTGATTGATTGATTATCTTAGTTTCTAGAACTGATCTGCTAGTGGTTGGAGGGGGGTGCATTTGTTGCTGTATTTGTGTGTTTGTGATCATTGATTAAGATACTTTTTGGGTAAAGACCTCATCATCTGCTGCACACATGTGCAGCTACATGAATTTTTCAATTATATCACTTATGAAAAAAAATTATGGTTCAGGAAAACAAAAGAAGAGGAACAGCGTCTGAAAATTAAGTCTGATGTGAATGGTACTGTAGGTATACTGTACCTTCCAAAACCAATCTATTTACTCAAAATGTCTGGGGTCTGGAACCATGTCAATTTCAATTTTTAGAGTCAAAAATAAATTCCCAGATACCCCCACTGATTAGTGAAAAATAAAACAAATGAAACTAGATTTCCAAACAACCCTTTTCAAAGAATGTGATCACAATTGATCACAAAAAATGCAATCAAATCTGATTACAAAATTGCTGAACTTCTTGATCATAATTTTTTGTGATCAGATCCTGATCACATTTTTTCCAAAATCTTAGTGGACGCTTGTCTATATCCATGTACACAGCCAGCAGCATCTTCATTGAAGTACTATTTAGTGTCTATAGATTCTGTATTCAGCATTTGCATTCAGTGTTGGTATGCAGCATTCATAGTGTCTGTATTCAGCCTCTGTATTCAGTGTCTGTGTCTCTGTCTGTGTTGGTCCATAGTTGTACTGGTGGTACTTGACACGTACTAGTGGTACTTAACATGTGTCCTTTGGGATTTTCAATTGCCAAACAAAATTTGTGATCAATTTTTATCACACCAATTTTCAGACCCAATCCAGAGGAGGGGGAATCCAGGACCATTTTAAAAATGATGCCATATGGAAGAAGATGGGGAAATCTGGGCCAAGTCTATACAATGACTTTAATAAGCTTATAATCCACCAACAATTAACTTTATCTTTGGCTTATCCCCCAAACATAAATTTTGAATACCCCCTTGTTTTGAGAGAACACACTGCTGAGTTGGAAACTACTGTTAAGATACCCATTCCTTACTGGGCCCTCAGTTAGTAAATTTTTTAAAATATAATTATTTCCTGTACATCCTGCAAAACATGGAGAAACAATGAGAATTTTACTCTTTGTTTAGAAGGGTAATATTCTCATTGTTTCTCATTGTTGTAACAACAGCAACAAAGAGAAACTAAGAGAATATTGCCTCTCCTCCTTGTTTCTCTTTGTTTCACATTGTTTAAATATGGAGAGACAAAGAGAATGTTKCCTGGACAATGTTCACATTGTTTCTCTTTGTTTAAGCAGAGTGAATATAATCTGGGCACTATTGGGTCATTCCCGAAAACATATATCTGTGTACTTTTTGGCACGCCCGGCTCGGTTTATGTAAAAAAAA